CTCTATCTCTCTCCCTTCCGCTCTGTGAAAAATCAATAAAATATATTAAAAAAAAAAAAAAAAAGAACAGACTCTATAAATTGATGGCTGTTTATATTAATCAAACAAACTAGTAAGTTCCTACCTGGATCTTGACCATGCTTGAGTTTTCCAAGAGCACCTGCTAATGATGACATTTCACACTTGTATGGAATCACAGTTAGAATTTTTCCATGTAGCATAAATAAATGTTCCCCATAATACCAAAGCTACAAAAAAAGTTATAAAAATGTAATCATTTTTTCCCACTTCTATGATCTGATTCAACAAAGTCATATAATTTATAACAATAATTTATGGTGTGAGCCATCTTAATAGAACACAAAAGGACATGATAAAGTTAAGCAACTTTTCAGAACAATCCCATGTACAACTTATTAATTGGGTAGGTTTACATAGTTCTTACTTTTGCCGATGTCTGAATGATGCATAAAATTTAAAAGATACTCTTGACTCATAAAAATCTGACTGATATTATACGTTAAGTATTTAAAATTAACATTGTCACTATTACACATCTATTAACATGATAAATATTACCAAGGCAACTGTAACATGGGCACACTGTAAGATGTACTAAGTAAAAAGGACAGAATTTAATAGAATCTAATGATTCGAATTATAAAATTGTAAAAATGTGTATATCAACAAAAAACTCATGGGAACATGAAAATCAAACTAAGTTTGTTAAAGTAGTGAACTGTGATTGGTTAATTTTGTTAAAATTATTTTTTTAAATAAACTAGAATTAAATTGTATGCTGAGAAATATAGTTTCCTCATTCTAGAATTACAATTATCAATAAATCCTATTATCTTGAGTTACATATAAATAATCACTTACTAAACAACTAACATTCATTGAGCACCTTTGCTAGACAGTGAAGACACAACCAGAGAACAAAACCAGACAAGGACCCCTGAGCCTCTGGAAGTTTACAGTCTAGTTTGCTAAATTGTTAATTCGTTAAGTATTTTTCAAAAAGTTTATTTTTCTTGATTTCAGAGAGGAAGGGGGAGGGAGAGAGAGAAACATCAATGATGAGAGAGAATCATTGATCGGCTGCCTCCTGCATGCCCCACACTGGAGATTGAGCCCACAAATTGGGCATGTGCCCTGACTGGGAATCAAACCCTGACTTCCTGGTTCATAGGTTGATGCTCAACCACTGAGTCATGCCAGCTGGGCTCTTAAAGTATTCTTATGTAATTCCATAATAATGTTTAACATAAAACCTAACAGACCAAGTTATTATGAAAACTAACATATAACAGAGATATGTTAAAAAAAAGAACTATAAAAGGGTATAGTTCAAAATACAAAAGTAAAAAGACAAAACCAGCCTAGCAGGCATGGCTCAGTGATTGGGCTTCGACCTATGAACCAGGAGATCATGGTTTGGTTCCCAGTCAGGGCACATGCCTGGGTTGTGGGCTTGATCCCCAGTGTGGCACATGCAGGAGGCAGCAGATCAATGACTCTCCTTCATTATTGATGTTTCTATCTCTCTCTCACTCTTTCTTCCTCTCTGAAATCAATTAAAAAAGAAAAGAAAAAAAAAAAGACCAAACCAAAGAGCAGCTAAAATCCAAAATAATTTAATGACTAGTTAATTGTTCTCCCTGATCTAAAACTAGCTATAATTTAGTCTTACATAAGGGAAACTAGTAAAACAACCAAATTAAATATAATCTTTCGGGTTAAAAAAATATTTAGAACAAAGAGGTCTCTTCATTAGGCACAAAATAACTTGAAAAAATTCCCAAGTGCAAAACTTACTTGACACTGTACCTTGTGTAGTCTTTTGAAATCTC